TAAAGAGGTTAAGAATTTCACTGTGACCCAAAAATTAATATTTTAAAACAAATAAAATGAATATCAAACTCCATTTAGATAAATAAGGCCAACTGAGGAAGCTGGATTGCAAATGGTAAACATGACTCTCTCTATATTATCAGATATAAAAACCCCACTGCATTCTGTTCCTTTGGTTGTTCATGCTGAATACTTTTGTACCAAACTGAAGGGTCAGGTGCTATTTTACCAACATCTCAGTATATGTTAATCTTCTTTATACTCTCCTGCGGTCGCTGCCGCCGGCAGCCACTCCTCCATTCTCATGGGTGCCGCTCCTTTGTTCTCACAGGCATCGAGGTTGCTTCTCCACTCACCCTGGGCTGAGGCCAGCAGGCCTGCCCTGGACTGAGGCAGCCCTTCTGCTTGCCCTGTGCTGTCTCCTGTCATTGCTGCTTCTGCCTAGTCCCAGACCCCAGGGCTGGTGAGGAGACTGTGTCAGCAGAGCCGCATTAAGATACAGGAGACCAGGTTCAGTGACACAGGTCTGCTTTATTGCAGGAAGGCACAAGCTTATATAGGGGTAGTGGTCCAATCACAGCACAGCAAGTAGGATACCTCATTAGCGTAACAGGTTTAGCGTCCTATCATAGTACAGCAAGTAGTATACCATTTTAGCATAACAGACTTAGCATGCTATTAGCATAACAGACTTAATGTCCTATCACAAAATAGCGGGTAGGATGCCTCATTAGCATAATGGGTTTCAGATTACAGAGCCTGGATTCCTGGAAACAACGTGACCCTGAGAATTGCAATATCACCCTAGACTCAAGCCTGTCTCCTACTCTCTCCATGTAATTTTATGACCTCAGTGACTTTTGCCATTATAGTACACTACTAACTTTGGTAAAGGAAAAGGACCAACTGTACCTTTTTAAAATAATCAGTTTTATGTGTATCTGTTCCACTGTTAATTAAAAATTCTGTCATAGCCTCTTTGTTTTGTTTCAGAGCAAGTAAAAGCAGTGTCATTTTCTGTGAAAACAAAATCAGTTATGAGCTGAAAACCAAATAAAAACCCTGAGCACATAAGCACTTAATGCAGACTATAAATGAGATGTAGTTTCTTCTTCCTCAACCCACTGCACTGTCACACAGACTGCTTCTTTTCTTTGAAATATGCCCTACCTTAAAGGACTCCCATGGCCCCTACTCATTTTCACACTATCCTTTACTTCTGTCAAAACATGTGTTAGGGTATCTGGGGGTCATGTGACTACTCCCATTGAAACCAAAAGCTTCTTGAAGGGTAGATTCTGTATCTCTACTCCACCAATCCAAAACCCCAAACACTATCAAAATTTTCTGTATGGTCATTGACAAAGGAGCTAAATTTTCATGCCTGTATTGGATTCCTCAGGATATTACAAGGGAAAGCTTCCTTTTCAGATGTACCATGCCCCAATGACAAGATCCCATGATCAGCTGTTTGGGAAATGGGACAAAACTAAAATATAGGCCAGATAAAAAAAAGCTTTGGTGACAAAGATACTTGAAAATAGGCAAATTGTACCCTGGAATGTATTATTGTGACACATATGAGTCAGGAGTGCATACAAGAAGCTAAGATACTGCTTGTAAAGTACCTTAGCTTTATAGGCTGGAAACTGGCTCTCTGGTTAAAAGCACTGGCTACACTTCCAGAGGACCTGGGTTTGTTTCCTAGCACCCACATGTTGGCTAACAAAGGACCATAACTCCACCTGGGGATTCAATGCCTTCTTCTGGCCTCTGTGACATCGCACACATGTGGTGCACATACATACATGCAAAACACTCATACATATAAAACTATGCTTAAAAGATACACCACCGGCTAACTCTCCTAGCCTGCACTACTATCGTCAGGCCTCTTGGGGAAAGTCTATAGTGCAGCTCTCCACACCGGGACTCCCTAAGCCTCATTCACCATTCCATTCCCCCGCCCCCGCCCCCCTGCCTGCCGTTCTATACTCCTAGTTTGGGCCCTGCGCCATTCCTAGTCTTGGGGCCCCAGACACCTGGGGAACCAATACTGCTTCCTGACCCTTCTCACCCAGAGCAACTCAGTCCCTTTCTTGGGCTCCAGGAGCACCACTTCTGGTCCTGGCCCTGCCCTCACCTCGCTCTACTTCCCTGGTCCTCCAACACCCGCCAGCCTCTTTCTGGGGCTGACAGCCTCTTTCTGGGGCTCCGAGGCTTACCTTTACTCTCCCTGATCTTTTGCATCCAGTACAACCCAGCTACTCAATCCACTCCCTGGGAAATCTTGGGACTCTTCCCTCCACATCTGCCTTTGCATGCCTGCGTGGCGCGGCCACGGCCAGGGTCTCAGGTCAGTCCAACACCCAAGTTCCTGAGGCCAAAAGCATTCTTAGAAGATTCCAGACCTAAGGAGAAAGTCTGAAACCTTCTGACCCACATTGGAATTGGGCCACTGTGGAACTCCTGAAAACAAAATCAATGAGGCCATGACAATATAAAATCAAAAGAGAGAACCAGAAGCTTAGAC